AGCCTTGAACATAGAATTAGAAGAGAATTCGCCGAATGGGTGGAGGATCCATTCAGGTGTCAGAGGAGGAGGGGCAGATGTAGACTTCTTTAAGGGTCTGTACAAGCGCAATTAGGTCAGAAATCTCTGGGTCCCTTAGGGGCCTTCTAAGGTGTAGGTTCAAGCTGTTTTAAGCAGTTAGGTCCGGAAGCAGGAACAAACAGTAGCTTCTTGGTATAAAGAAAGGTTGAAGAGTCAAGGAAAAGAAGCAGCTAGGGTAGAATCTCCCCACCAAAGGTTTTTCCAGAATATTCTTAGACTCCTTCAAATTCTTGGAGTGTTTTTGAGCCCCCTTGAACCTAACTCTAGCATTTGGACCCAGCAATTTAAAAGGCGCGCCTGAGGCATGTCTAGGTGTATAGGCGAGGTGCATTTTAGGGTAGGCACCTCATCCAGGTCCAAGGCACAGCACTTTCAAAAGGCACATGCCTGGTGCGCCTAGGCGTGCGCCTGATGCGCTTTGCACCTTAGCCCAGGCGTGCACCTTTTGAAAATTTTATGCTTTTTTTGCTTTTTTTGAACCTAGCGATTGGGTTGGGGGCTCCACCCCCGACCACGACCCTCGAGGCAAGCCCAAAGAAGTCCATGTTAGGGTCTTAAATTCTTAATTTTCACACAAAAAATAATGATTTTATAATTTCAATAAAATATCTTCTTAAAAGGCAATTAAAATTATAAAATCATTATTTTTTGTGTGAAAATTAAGAATTTAAGACCCTAACATGGACTTGTACGGACTTGCCTCAAGGGGTGTGGTAAAAAGGGGCTCGTAAAATCAGGAATTTAAAATGTTTTACATCACATTAGCTACTTGAAGTAATGCAATTGAGGAAAAAAAAGAGATTGTGGGTTTTACATGCTTGAAAATGTTTTATATGTTTAATTTTATTTTTAAATTTTCATTTGAATACATTGTACATTTTATGTTTATGTATTTTAACTTTAGATAAAAGGTTTTTAAAACATTAATCTTAAAATTTAAGTTTATATTTTTTATTAATATTATGTTTAATATTTTTTACTTTTTGCATTTTTTGAATTTTTTGGCTTTTTTTTAATTTTGACATTTTTTTAATTTTTAGCTTTTTTTGTATTTTTGCGCCTTGCGCCTCGAGTGCAAATTGTCCCTTGCGCTTCTAAAACACTGTTTGGACCCCTTCCCTCTCTGGCTCTCTGTTGAGCTTCTTTTCTTGAGATCCTCTCTTCCTTATTTGTATCCACACATCTTTTCCCTATAAAAAAGATTTGGTGTAGACCAATCCCTCCGAGAGTTGGGGCTTTTTGTTGAGAGGCCTTCCATGAGAAGATTAACACTTGTGACCTATAGAAGAGGAGACCTAACTGTTGCCTTTCTCATTGGTGCTTACTTTGCAAAGCCAATGGTGAGACATGCTAGCACTTGTTTAGGGGTGCCCATGAAAAACCAAAAAACTGAACCGAACCACAAATGCGGTTAACCGAACCGATCGGTTCGATTGCGGTTCAAAATTTTTGAAAAACCGAAGGACCGGTATATATATTTATATGTATATTTTATATATTTTTAGTATATGTCACATATTTTCTATGTATTATATATAAATATATACTTATATTATATTTATAATGATCTATTTATAAATATATTATATATTTTTAAAATATTTATAATATATTATTTATTATTTATAATATACTATTATACATATATTTATATAATATATATTATAAATATAAAAATAGAAAAACCAAAGAACCGAACTGGTCAAAAACCGAAACCGGCGTACCGGTTCAGTTTCGGTTTGAAGAAATGGAAAAACTGGTACAACCGGTTCGGTTTACAAAAAAGGGCCATGGTTCGGTTAATCGAACCACGAACACCCCTACACTTGTTAATCCCCTATCCTTTTGTTTCTTGCATTTGGGATTGGTTTTTGTCTCTATTTGGTTCCAGGTGATCGAATCCTTCTAGCATGTCAGATCTATTTGCACCTCCTGTTTTCAAGTGGCCAAAGAAGAGGAGGAGAATCTTGTGGAAATGTAGTAGAGCAGCAATACTTTGGACAGATTGGGAGAAAAGGAATAATCATTTTTTCAAAGAAAAGGAAAGAATCCACAAAGCAATAATAGAATGTATCACTATTAGAGTGGCTCATTGGATCAAATCTTTGGAGAGTTTCTCAACAATTTCAATAAAGGACATTATGAGAAAATGGTGAGAGGTGGTGGGAACTTCTACTAAGAAGAATCTGATATGCAAACTCTAGGCTCCCCCAATGGAAGGCTTCATCAAGCTCAACTTCGATGGTATCAGTAGTGGAAATCCAGGACCTTTAGGGATTGGAGGCATTTTTAGGAGCGAGACAAGGATTATTATTGCACTTTGTTCAGCTCTTATTGGAGTAGGCGATTCCTTGAGAGCGGAGGTCATGACTTGGAAGGGGTACAAAGTGAAAGAAATGAGCTAAAAAAAAGTTCTAAATTGGTGGTGGAGTGGTTGAAGAGTGGGAAGGCAGCATTATGGTAGTATAGAAACAAGCTAAAGCTAAAAAAGTTCCCATGGCAGACTAGATTAGGTGGAAGTGAGATTTCATTGGGTTCAAAGGGCAGCCAATAGTTACACTGTTGATTGCAGGGAAATATGGATGGGACACAATGAAGAGAAAAAGATCCTCTGGGTTTCAAGGAATTGAATTGTGAACCTAAGCACTTGGGAGGGGCAGGGATCAGACAGGTGATTGCAGGGAAATATGGTTTGTCTAATAATGGTTTGTCTAATAAATATGGTTGCAGACTTGCAGTCTTTGGAAAGGTCAAAAGGTATCGTGAAACATAAACAGGAGTTCTGAGGAATGTAAAGTTACAACCTCGGAGGGGTGACAAAGCTTTCTTCTGGAAGGGTATTTGGTGTCTTGACCAACCACTATGTGAAGTGTTCCCATCCTTTTTTCTTCAACTACAACAGATAGGGAGCCTCTTGTGTCGGACTGTTATGAGGTTCTGGGATCTCAGGTGGTGTGGAATCCTGCTTTTCGTAGGAACTTTAATGATTGGGAGGTGGAAGACCTCAGCTCCATGCTTTCCAGTTTGAATGATTTTAAGATATCTCGTAGTTAATCTGATAGAAGAGTCTGGAAGACCTCAGCTCCATGCTTTCCAGTTTGAATGACTTCAAGCTCCTGCTACAGGATTATGTTACCACACCCAAGGGAGGATGTTCATTAGGGTTGGTTCAGGAAGGCCCAAGACTTGCCAAGGTGGCTTTCATCCTGTGGACTGTGGTGAGGGATAAAGTGCTGACAATGGATCATCTCCTGAGTAGAGGTTTGCTGGTGGAGAACTGTTGCAGTTACTGTAGGTCCAGTCCAACCTGCTCCCCATCTTTTTATCCACTGTGACTTCACTTACTTGGATTGATCTCATTTCCTGAAGCTCTTTGACTCTAGCTGGGTGGTCCCTCACTCCCTCCTGACATACCCTCTCTCCTAGCTTCTTGGCATAGAAGAGGCCTGTCAACGAGAGGAAAGGTATTATGGAAGCTACTCCCTGCAGAGCATTGTTCGACAGTGTGGAAAGAGAGGAAAAGCCAATTGTTTGAGGAAAAGGGAGCCCCCATTGAAGCTGTCATCAGTAAAATAGAATGGATCCTGGTTCGGTGGGAAGGGTTTTAAAGCAGTTTGCAGATATTCCTATCTCTGATTTTTTTGAATAGGTGGTCTTCTTTAATTTTTTATCTGGACTCTCAGGGTGTATAATCAGATCTTTTCTGTCTTCTTGTAAAGACCTTTGTTTCTGCTCTAGTGGGGAGCTCGCCCACTTTTGGATGAATTTATACTTTTCAACTTGCTTATCCAAAAAAAAGGACAGCCAACAGCATGGCTGATGAACTAGCTAAGAAAGGTGTGGGGAGGGAACAAGTGTTTTGGACACAATTATAAGGAAAGTTGTAGAGGGAGATAAAGACTTGCTAATCCCTCCCATAGTTGTCAAGGTGACACCTAGGCGAGGCCTAGGCGCACTTTGAGGCTCGCCTCGCCTAATCGTCAAATAGTTTTGTACTATGTATTATAAAATACTTTTCTATTCTTTATTTTTTGACATTATAATTATAAAATAGGCACTATTAAACTAAAACATTCATTTTGTTTGTTTATAATACTAATTTCTTTTTATTATTTTCTTATTTGTTAGGGCTTAATCAATATAAACATTACTAAATGCTGTATTGAACCCCCAAAGACTTTAAAACCTGAACCAATAATTAAGGAAGAACTTAAAATTTTGTCTAATCAACACATTTTCTACTACTACTACTACACATTTTCTTTTCTTCTTTTCCTATAACAAAAATAAGGGTTCAGCCTTTATATTTTTTGAATTTTCTCTTCTTCTTTTTCTTCTCATGAATATGTTGATTTTCTATACTTCAGCATGAACTCTATACTTTTCCTATGAAAATTATGAATAATTATTAAGGAAATATGGTACCTAGGGAACTACCCTAGGATCTATGTTTTCTACATAAAAAAAAATCCATCGCCGGCACCCACCTAGGCGACTAGGCAACAAAGAGCCCCATGTCGCCTCGCCTTGGCGCCTTGAAAACTACGATCACTCCCATAAATGCTTGTAGTTTGCACCTTTTAATCTGTATTAATAAATGCTCAGTAATTGAATCAAAAAAAAAAAAGAATGATCATACCGAAAAAAGACAGTGTTCATATTTATCCCCCCAAAAAAAAGACAGTGTTCATGTTGTAGTAAAAGATCAGCCTTCTCTAAGATGCAATAAACTGATTATCCAAATTTAAACTATACCTCATAAGACATATAAATGATAACTTGTAGACTTGTCCTTGGTAAAGATTAATCCTCAAAACTATTTGATGTTAGCTGAAGTAAATTATGATGATTGAACGATGTAAACTAAGGGGAGCTCAGAAATCAATAAGTGAACATTAGAGGTAAACTATGAGACATACCTTTCTGCAAGCATTGCAGAACCCTCTTCAAATAGCTCCTCTACAACCCCAACAGAGGAAAGCTTGTTTGTCAATTTGTTAATTGAATTCTGGGATTTCTTTCTAAAAATAAGTGAAGTAAGCATATTTTGCTTCTTCCCTGAGGTTAAAGGTAAAACAGAATGTTCAGGTGGAATGATGTCAGCAACAAGGCAGGTTGTATCATCTTTTAGACCCCTTGACCTAAGTGCTTCCTGAACAAATAAGCACATGAATGTTAAGAAAAATAGAAAAGAACAAACATCTGAAAGATATAACAAAAATAGAAATAGGAATTCAATGCCACCTTCACGACTAGCTTAGCAGCAAGTTCTGCAGGTAATCCACGACAAGCTTTTGCAGCCATCTCAGAGGACAAAGCATCCCAGATTCCATCAGAAGCAATTATTAGTCTTCCCCCAGCATTCGAAAGCTAAACCACCAGAAGATCATGTAAGAGTTTGGAGTCATGATCAGTGTTTTAAAAGTGCAAGGCGCAAAAAAGGTGCAGGGATCAATTTGCGCCTGAGGCGCAAGGCACAAAATTATAAAACAAATGCGAAAAAATCAAAAAAAAAGTCAGAAAATTAAAAACTGCCAAAAAATTCAAAAAATATTAAACATAATATTAATAAAAATATAAACTTAAATTTTAAAATAATGTTTTAAAAAAATTATCTAAAATTAAAATACATATAACATAAGATGTAAACCATATTCAAATGAGAATTTAAAAATAAAATCAAACATATAAAACATTTTCAAGCATTTAAAACCTCTAATCTCTTTTTTCACTCAATTGCGTTACTTCACGTAGCTAATGTAATAACATACCGCATTCCTAATTCTACGAGCCACCCTTGTGCCACATCCCTCGAGGCAAGCCCAAACAAGTCCACGTTAGGTCTTAAATTCTTAGTTTTCACACAAAAAATAATGATTTTATAGTTTTAATTGCTTTTTAAGAAGACATTTTATTAGGATGAATGAATGAACAAGATTACCAAATTGGGGGCTCTCAGCAAAAAAGCGTCAAATTTTCAAAAGGCGCACGCCTGGGCTAAGGCGCAAGGCACATCAGGTGCATGCCTAGGTGCACCAGGCGTGCGCCTTTTGAAAGGACTGCGCCTAGGACCTAGGCAAGGCGCATACCCTGAAAACTGAAATGCGACTCGCCTGTGCGCCTAGGTGTTCCTGGGGCACGCCTTTTAAATCACTGGTCATGATATCCCTTATGCAGACCAGACCATACAAAAGGAAAGAAAGATGAATAAGCTTACCGAAATGACTCACCTTCACTTGCTTAACATGTGGTATAGGAACAATGAACTCTCCCACATCCGTGTCACCAATGGATCTTGAAAGGCATAATCCACCAGGCCAACAACGTAGGGGGCCCACCTGTGAATGATATAAAAGTACAAGGTTCTATGTATGTAAAAAGAGCAATGTATGCTCAAAGGTGAAATAGCATCCAGCCATGAACAGTCAGAGTAAACATGCTTGAATTTTCTTTTTTTTTTTATATGTAATTTTCATTTTCTCCTTACCTCAGTTCCCCCATAAACATTCAGCCTTCCCACCTCACCACCACTTTTGGTGACACGCTCCCTCTCTTCAGCATTCTCTTCTAGCCTGTGATCAACTGTCAGAAGAGAAACTACACCCCCCTGAGTGTCCAATATGCATCGAGAATCCCCAACAGATGCAACTGTCACAGTCCACCCATCAATTACAACAAAGGTGACTGTTGTTCCCGAAGTTTCTCCTGCCATAGATGATATTACCGTATTAATGATAAAAGCTTTGCAAATACAGGAGCAAAAGGTTGGCTCGTATCAAAGATTGCAACTGATGCTTGCCTTTTCGCTGAAATTCTATATCAGTTTTCACAAAACCTGCAACTAGTGCCCGTGGGAGAGCTTGAAGCCACTCTTCCCTAGGAATGCCTTGAGGAATCGCACTCATAACATGATTTAATAGATTCTCCTTAGCAAATATAGCTGCCGAGATGCCGTTGTGCCCATCAAAGATCTATCAACAAACTCTGAGTTTATTTCTTCGTGTTGGAATTAAAAAAAAAAAAATAACAAATTAAAACGGAATTTCGTAAGAAAAGGAAAAAAAAACAATTATGAAGAGAGTACCGCAAAGACGGAAAAGGACGACGATGGATTCCCTGGAAGCCTCTGGCAATCGGGCTTTATCAGAAAATAGTCCTCCCCTTTCTTCGCCAATGCAGCCTGTCCATACCTAACAGAAGGTTTCTCGATCTTCTCGCTGTTCCTGAGCTCGCGACCGATCAGGGTTCCAAGAGGAACCAGGGGAGACCTCATTATCGAAACTTCCGTCCGGCTCATAGTAATCTGCGTTTCGACATTTATAAGACCTTGATATCAAAGCCCTAGTCCATCCAAAAAGCATCGTTCGAATCAAACCCCTAATTCAATCCAAATGCATCCATCTAGTGAGGCTTTGCACAGGTTTTCGCCATATTTACTCCTAACTTTTTAAATACATTCAAAACGTCTCCTAGGCACAATCTACATTGCACTAAAACAATCACACTGGAACAGCTAAAAGCACAAGGGAAACAGCTAACGAAATAAATCATGTATAATGGCAATAAGTAAATGAGCAAAGTTCAGAAACCCTAACCTCAGAGAATGAAAATCACATTCTCTCTCGAGACACCGAAAGATCAGACATTGAAGATGGAAAGAGGACACGATTTCCCTTCTGCAACCATTTGGAGTAGCTCACCAATTTTAAGAATCAAAACTCTCCGCTCTCTATGAGAACTCCCTGCTACTGAGAGGAAGAAGTCGCCTTCAACAACAGGAGAGAAACCCTAATTAATGTACGAAAGAACTATCTATAAGCTTCACTCACAGTTGCAGCGAGAGAGAGAGAGAGAGAGAGAGAGCAACTGGCCACTGTTTTTCTTTTCATACATCATACAGTTTATTTTCTTTCTGCTTCACATTCTGTTTCTCACTCACTTTGATTTGATATCAGAAAAATCGGAGGAAAGTGTATAGTGTATACAGGATCATGGGAGAAAGAAACCCGGGCAGAAAAAAAAAAAAAAAAGGTGGTTTTTAATAGACCCGAAGAGCGATGTCTTCCTTCGATAACGACGTCTGTATCCTGTCTTCTTTTGTTTTCTTTCCTTCCTTAATTTTCGCTTCGATTCGAATCATTCGAGATTACTCACGGAAAAATCGTTAAAATACGAAAATATCTTTTTTTCACAGATCCGGATCCGGAAGAGCATTTATTAATTATTGTTTGTTTACCGTATAATGTCGATATTGCCTAGGCTTCACGTCCACACCACCACGCCCAAAATCTAATTTATTTCTTTCCCTTTTTCCATTTATATTTTTTTCTCCTTTTTCACGTGCCACTCAATTAAAGTAGCGCAAGTAAGGGTGATCGGGGATCAAGGAGGTAAGCCAAACAATATATTCCACGTCATCCTAACTTATGGAAGTTAGTGTAGCGAACCGATCTGGTGTAACGTGATTGGTTGGTTCAGCATTATCAAAGGTTTGTTTGATTTGATAGAAAACAAGATAGAAATTAATTAATTTTGTCTAGGGTAAAATACTTAAACTACCCTTAATTTTAATAAATGAATTAGAACTTATCCCATTGTTAAATTCGTTTATTATTATTTTTTAAATTTTAAAAATAAAATCCAATGAAATTTTTTGAGGGCCGAGATTGGGTAAAACTGTAAAAGAGTCCGACGAAGAAAGGCCCCACTATGTTATAAACAAGTTTGTGTACATGTAAGGAGTAAATGGGTCCAACAAACCACTATGTTTGGTTCGGTTTGTGTTTATTCGGTAAATGTTTATTGATGGTGCCACATAGGCATCACTTCAGCATTTTTTCTCTCTTGTTCTTCTGCATGCATCAAAAATGAAAAAAAGCCAATTTTAGTTTTTGTGCATGCCAACATTTGTGGAAGTTATTTTTTAAAGCTTCTACAAACAACCAAGCGTTTTTCACTATTATGCTGACGTGGAGTTTGATGGCGCCTAGTGCTGCCTAGTTATCATAAACCATTGTAATTATTGCATTTCTTAATTTTACCAGCAAATAAAGTACAAACATTTATTCAATAAACATAAATGGAATCAAATACATACAAAAATTGTACTAACACGATATGTGTCCACCTCACACCAACCTCACAGTATGTCCTGGCTGCACATCGAAAACATTTTTTGTACTTGTATTTATTATTCATGGGGAGATGTTCCCAATATAGGGTGGGATGTGACTGTGATAATGGTGTGAAGCGTGCTCTATGAGGAAGAGACCCTAGTTCAGACAATAAATACCAATGATCAATTGGACTAGTACACCACCCACTTTTCAGAGTACATCTAGATAGGAAGATATGGGCGACGAAGCAAAATCAGGTCCCCTCATTCAATTCTTCTTTTTCATCTTCTCTCCTCTCTCTCGTGTGGTACCAAGCTTGCTGTAACAAAATAGATCTAGGTTTGTTCTCTCGTGAGAACCGAGCTTGGTGCAATAAAATAGGTTTATGGTCTGCTCTCTTAGTTCATTCCTTGAGGTTAAGAAATGATTGGGAGGAGCAGGAGATGAGGAATTCCCTCTTCAAATCGTTCTTACATGAGTCCTTGGCCCAAGGTTTCAATGGGCCAATGTTGATGAGTATTTTTCATCAAAAAGGGTAAAAGTGGGATTTTAAAAGGGCAGATTACTAAAACCTCCTCTGAATTTTCTAACTATTCATGAAACCTCCCCTAAAATTTGATAATTTTAATCACCTCCCCTGAATTTTCTAACACAATTGTAAGTAGACCCCCTTTGGTTAGAATTTGCTAATAAAAGGTACAAAATGTCTAAAATACCCATGCAATTATTATTGAGATTGGTTTTTACAAAAAACAATAACAATAAAAAAAATAAAATTTAAAGTTGCAATTTTATCTTTGAGCGATTGATATGAAGGGCAAGTTCGAAAAATAAATTAATTTTAAAAAAGATAGTGGAAAGGTTTGGGCTAGCGAATCATGTGAATAAAATTCTGAAAAATAAACATAGTGGTGAAAAGTAACTCTATGGGTATTTTGGACATTTTCATGCCTCTTTTTAGAATATTTTAACAAGAAGGGGTCTACTTGCAATTATGTCACTAAGTTCAAGGGAGATGATTGCAATTATCAAACTTCAGGGGAGGTTTCAGCAATGATCAAAAAGTTCAAGGGAGGTGTAAGTAATTTACCCTTTAAAAAAATCATATAAGTCATGTGATATCATATGCAAACTGATTTTTGAACTTGGGAAAATTCAATCAATTGGTACTTAAAAGGGATTTTGGAAACAATAGGGGAAGTTTTAATCCATTTCTTAAAACTTAGGGGTAATTTAAATATTTTACCCTTTTTTGTGAAATTCTTTTAAGAAATTTTCCTCACTTTTTCTTTCTCTTATTTGATTATTTTTATTATTTCTATCAACCCATAAGGTATTAAGTTAAAGAGTTCAACTATGATACTCAAGAGGTACCATACCTAAAGCACAAAAAAAAACAAATCAACCTACATCATCTAATTGGTAAGCGATCAACTAGTATTAATCAAATTCATGTAGGTTTCTAATTAGTTATAAGTTCATATGTATGTAGATGAGGGAGGGTTGGGTTTAGCTTAATACCATACCTTTCACACATCCATACCAACTATAAAATCCCAAAACCTACCCACCCCAAAATCTATTTTTCAAGCAGAAAAAGAAAAGAAAAATACCCCATTGGAGAGGATATAAGGCTACCTTTGCCCCAATAACTAAAACAACAAATGAAAGCTAAATCAGCTAGAAGAGAGGAGTTGTTGAAACAAAGGTGAGAGATAGAGGATGAGAGATCTCCTTGAGCCATCCAATATACAAATTGATTGGCTTCATGATAAGCGTGAACATATAGCATCAATGATTATCTTCAATCTCCAAGGCACACCGATCTTCATCTTGAGACAAGACAATACGAGAAGAGAATCACCCTCAATGCGAATATGATGGTCCCTCAAGTTGAACACAATATTGTGGGCCTCCCGCGCAGCCCAAGGTTTAGCTAATTAAATTCTAGTAGAACCAATATTGATGTAGCCTTTAGCCTCCAAAACCTAACCAAGTGATTTCTGGCTATGCGAGCAATGGAGCAAGTTCTATCATTTATACGGGAAGCATCAAAATTTATTTTAATCTCCTTAGATCTCCACAGCTTGTTCTTATTACTTAATTGATTGATACTATTACTAAAGTTCAACTCCAAATAGGAAACAAGGGGGGAAGACACTTATCATTAAGGCCCCGTTCGCTTTCCGGTAAGTTACTTACCTGGGTAAATGCAATTACCTAGGTAAGTTTTTCCTGGGAAACACTTACCCGGGTAAGTGTATTTACCCATGTTCTTTTATTTCTCATGTAAATAAGGCAATGACTGTTTTAACCACAAAAATTCATTATTAAAAAGGGTATTTTTGTCCCATTCAAATATTGGCAACTTTCCCCTAGGTGGGAAAGTTATTTACCCACCTAGGAGATGGGTATCACTTACCCGGGTAAGTGATACCTAAGAAAATAAACTTTCCCTAGTCCCCACATAACTTGAAAAAAGAACATGAGATTCTTGGTCAATGAAAACTAAAATCCCATTGACCAACTTTCCCCCCTCTCAAAATCCGAAAAAAGAAAGCCCCCTAAAAATTTTATCATTTCTAATTTTTCAAGTGTACCACATATTTTTCATATGACAACCCATAATCACTTCAGAAACTACAAGCACCATTGACTCCAAAGACCTTAGAAGAATTAAAATGTTTTCTCTTAGATGGGACTGGATCTAGTAGGCACAGTATAGCAAGTACGTTAAATGAGCAATTGATAACTTTTAAAGGATAGGTGTCAAAAAGTTTTCTTAAATACTCATTTAACGTGCTTACAACTTTGTGCCTACCTGATCCGGACTGCTATTAGATGGAGAGACCATTCATTTCCATATAAGAGAAATCTCTTGCATCTCCTACCATGTTAGTTGCTTCTTCAATTATTCTCATAATCATTAAAACCATGATTCTTCTCATTTTAGAATGAAAAAAAAAAGATGTTCAATACGTTTTTCTAATGAAACGGGTTTGAGGTTTCATTTGACCCTATTTCGTGAATGGGTGAAGAAGATTATGGAACCGGAATAAATAACTAAATAAAATACAAATATTTTAAATAATAACTACTTTTCTATTAATTACTACATAATTATTTATCTAAATATTTTAATATAGTTCATATTAAATAAATAACAAAAATTATTACTGTTTATTTTAACTAAATTATTCAATATAAAAATAAAAATAATTTCAATTATTTAGTTGAATACGTAAAAATAAGGGAAATTGTCTAAAACTCACCATGTCACTAACTTGACGTTAAACAAACTAACGGACATTAATATATTACCATTTTAACCTTCATAGAAAAATATAAAATATATATCAAAAAAATATTTTCAAATATAAAATACATAAAAACATAGAAATTACAAAAAATATAAAAAATTATAGAAATTGCAAAAAAATAAAAAATTATAGAAATTGCAAACAAAATAAAAAATTATTTTCAAATTATAGAAACTATAGAAATTGAAAAACAAAATCAGAAAATAAAAATTAGAGAAAAAACACCAAAAATTTATAGATTGTAGAAAATAGAAAAATGTAAAAAAAAATAGGAATTATAAAAAACATTGGAAATTATAACAAAATATTAAAAATGCAAAAAGAAAACAAGAAAATTGAAAACTGAAAAATAGCGTTTTTCCTCTAACTCACAATTCAAGGATAATTTGGTCATGAAAATTGTTATTTATGCTGACATGGACACCTCTATTAAGAAGCATTACCGGTGCACTAACAGAAAGTGAGTTTTGGAAAATAAAAACTTACTGACATGGTGAGTTTTAGACATTTTGAAAAGTTGTGGTGAGTTTAAGGCCTCGTTCGCTTTTTGGTAAGTTACTTACCCGGGTAAATACAATTACTTGGGTAAGTTTTTCCTGGGAAACACTTACCCATGTAAGTGCATTTACCCATGTTCTTTTATTTCCTAGGTAAATAAGGTAATGGCCATTTTAGTCATAAAAATTCATTATTAAAAGGGGTGTTTTTGTCCCATTTAAGTGTTAACAACTCCCCCCTTAGGTGGGAAAGTTATTTACCCACTTAGGAGATGGGTAAGTGATACCTAGGAAAATAAACTTTCCTTGGTCTCCACATAAATTTGAAAAATGAAATGGTATTCTTGGTACCAACTTTCCCCTCTCCCAAAATCCGAAAAAAGAACACCCCCTAAGAGAAATGTTGAAAACTCATGGTGAGTTTTAGACAATTTCCCTAAAAATAATTTAAGAACTTTTTACTTTTAAGTCAATAAGTTAGAAACACATGGGCACTTGGCCCCATTTCCAATTTTCCATCATATTTAAATGGAAGAACTTTTATTGGTTTTCTTGGTTTCAAAATTCATGAAAAGGATCCAACAAACTACATAGAGAAAATTCCTGGCCAGTGCCAAGAGAAAAAATTATATAATTTGCACCCCATTTAATAACAAGGCAGCTGAAGAGTTAATGCAGGGTCCATCATTTGATTGTATACCGATTTCAAGTTGATTTGTCAATCTCCATTCTCCAATATTGGTTTGATGCATTGTTCCATTGTTTTCCATATTTTCCATATGAACAGTCTCAGTAGAACACTGCTTAACATCTAAAATGCATTGTTTCTATTAAACATTAATTAGGCTTTCAAATGCTAAACATGAAATGATTTCATTTCACATGGTCATCAGAGAGAGACTATTATAATATGATGGTCACAAGCTCCAAGGACCAAAATTAACACTAACCCAAGACCCCTTTTATGCACAAAAATCTCAAGCTTATATATGTTGTCATCTCATGATTTGAAAATTCATTGGCGAACAAGGCCTGTTATGATTAAATGAGAATGTCAGTTTGTTTGGCTTTTCCACCCTTTGATTTCCTTTCTCAAATTATTATCTGGTTGCCTTCTTCTTCTTTTTCTTTTTGATTTCTTTTGAAGGACTAGGACTACACAATAGGGGTAGCCCATCCAGCCCCCAACCCATAACCCCTCACCCAGGTACAGGCGGTATTCGATCCCAAGTCTCCGCTACCACCAGCAGGAGAGCTTATCAACCAAGTCCCATGCTCTTTGAATCATCTAGCCCAACTGTATTGGGGTAGGGAGCAATCCGTGTTTAATTGGAAATTTGTTAAAATTCCAATGGATCTGAACCTGATGTAGACCTATTCACAGATTGGGGTTTGGGCTCAGCCATGAAAATTTTTTTATTGCTTCGGGTTCAAGTTTTGTATCGGACACATTCAAATTTGAGTAAAAACAAAGCCTGAGCCTAGCCCATGAACAACTTTAACTTGATATAATTGAACCTGACTCATGTCCCTAACATCTATAATACCTATCTAGATGGGCACTAACATCTATACTATATAAAATAGATAATTGTCTTGATTTTGATGCATGTCATAAAAGTTAAATCCAAATATTATATATCATATATGAAGTTCTTACACTAGTTCACCATAAACTTTAGAAAAAATCATGGCTAGTTGTCTAGAGTTTAAATGGGTTTAGAGCAATTCAAACTTTTAATTACCTTCTAGAAAGGGGTAGATGAGAAAATAAATAGTTGGAAGGGGATTTACCTCCAGCAGGTGATAAGAAAATAAACAATTTATAGTGTTGAATTCAGATGGCTCAGTCGTGTAACTCCCCCCACTGGTGGTGGGTCAGTTGGTAGGATTTTTGGCTTGTTGCAAAGACTTAATGCCATCAGGGTTGGGGGTTTAAGAGGTAGTTCGGATCTGGTAGGCACAACGTTATAAGCACGTTCAATAAGCACTTGAAATTCTTTTTAACACCTGTCCCGTAAAATACCCTCACCCCACCCTTGAAAAAAATTAAAACCCACTTTTGACAAACTTTTGACACTTGTCAAAATACTTATCAAATGCTCATTTATGTTGTGCCTACTAGATCCAGATGGGGATGGACCTCTACTCCGGTTGTACCGTATGGCCCTATAAAGCAAATAAATAAATAAAGAATTCAGATGGCGCTTTTTAGCTCAAGACCAGTTTTTGGAGAGATTGGCTTCTATCAGGGCAAAGCTGTGTCCACACTGTTCTAACAGTCTTTTTCACCATTGCATTGGGAATATCTTCCCCATGAAATAAAGAACACAAATATGGAAATATTCTCAATGCAAGGCAATAGAAGGTGCTTGAACCGGCTTTGCCCTAACTGATGCCGAACTCGCTTTTGGAGTGGTAATCAAAGATCAAATTACAAATTTATAGCCACTAAATTTGTGTTATTGGGTAGATGATTGAACGTGGATCATATCATTGTAGATTGTGACTATTTTAATTGACGCTAATCAAAGCTGGCACAAAGGTAAAAGGTTCCACTTCCACATACAGGATTCTCCATAACCATAGTTTCGTCAACAGGGCAGCTCATCTATCCACTTGTAAAGGCTTCATGGATGCTAGCAAAATTTTGGCGACCCCTTGATTGGTTCTTTGGGAGTCTAGTATGTCTAATGCTGCTGAGATTAGGTCGTGTGGTAGTTAGAGTCTCATCTTTAGTTGACTAGTTGTCTTTCTAGTTTGTTTTCTCCTGGTTTGTCTTTTCTCTGTGTTGGTTTTTATGTGTGTTTCATTGCTTTGTTTTGTTTTTTTGGCCCGTCTTGTAAACTCTAGCTTCAGCTTTGTCAATGAATGGTTTTCAACAGGGTAAATTATAGATTACCACCTTATTATACTTTAGGGGTATTCATGTTTAGCCCCCTAAACTTTCAAATTTCAATATTTTGCCCTCTTCCAACCCCTTAAGTCCCAATTAGGATGTTCATCAAACCGATGTAACTGATCAAATTGACCCAATCTGACCCTGGGTTGGTCAGTTTTCTAATCATTCTGGATGGTTTCGGTTTAGTTTATGCTAACTCAAGAGGTCAGGTCGGTTTTAGTTTGATCGATTGTAAACTGACCAAAATCGAATCACACCAATCATAGATATATATTAATATTTTATATTTTTTTAATATGAGAAAGTGAGAAGTTTTCCATATTTCTTAATTTAAAATATTTTATATTGTAATTTTTAATATTTTAAATTTACTTTTTAATAATACCATTTCAATTCTTTGAATTTAAATTTAACTTCTAAATTTAAATTTTTAGATTTAATATTTGAATTGACTGACCAAATTAAAAACCGACCAAAATCAATACAACCTGAACTGACATTGGTCAATCGGTTTCAGGTGACTAATTTCCCAATCCAACCAAATTGATTCAGTTGGTCAAATAGCCTAGAACCAAACCGAACCAACCCATGAACACCCCTACTCTCAACCTCTTCATTGCACCGATGCATATCATACATATCGCGTGCCCTTACACTAGCGTGAAATAATAAAATTATAAATAAGCCCTTAATTAGCTGTCTCAAAAACACAACTACAAAGATCATCTTACTCTTTGATGATTGCCAACATATAGGAAAGTGGAAAGGCCATAACTTCCTACGATGTAATTGCTTTGGATTCAAATCGGATCCAGCTACATCAGGATCCAATATGATTCAAAAATCCAATTTATTGTGTCTAAAATGAAGAAAAAAAAATAAAAAGAGGTTTTGAAAAATTTATTTATTAACCTATACAATAAATTGATTAATATAAATATCTAAGTTATTATTTAATAACTAAATATAAATGTATATAATGTCTCTACGCATATAATAATAATATTTAATAATAATAATAATAATAATAATGGAAAATTGGGCCTAGTGCCACTTTGGTCCCCGAACTTTCAAAACGTGTCAATTCAGCACCTATCGTTAAATGCTTTTCAAAAAGACACAAATGCCCTTCGAGTATCATCTAATTTTCTTTATCAATCATCCAAACATTGATAAAAAAATTAAAAGTCTTAAATCCTTGCCTCTTTTATTCAAGAAAGTTGGGGTCCAGAATGCCCACTGAAATGTGACCCTTACTTTCTTGAATAGAAGCAACAAGGATTTGAGATTGTTAATCTTTTGTTAACATTTGGATGGTTGATAAAAAAAATTAAATGACACTTAAAGGTCATTTGTGTCTTTTTCAAATGTCATTTAATGGCTGATTAACAATAATAGGTACTGAATTGACAAGTTTTGAAAGTTTAATTACTGAATTGTCTCATTTTAAAGTTCGGGGACCAAAATAGCAGTAGGCCCAAAGTACAGGGTAATCGAAAATTTTATCTGATAACAACAACAACAATAATAATAATAATTTGATCATACTCGAATTATAATCGAATCGGATGGTGTTAAATATGCATCCAATACATTATTAATTTGATGCAAATTCTATTTGGATAAATAGGATTCAAAATTGGTATATCAGACTCCATTGGCAGCTCTAATGGGTTGAGCTCCACAAAGAAAGCCTAGAAGCTATGCTTAATCATTGGTGAAACTGAAAACTCTAGAAAGCCCTAATACATTTTAACTCGGTTAAGAAATTAACTTTTCAATTGAGCTAATTTAGGCAGCTTCTTCAAAGCATCTCAATCGGGAGATGTGGCTTGCCTTTTGTTGCTAGCAAATCCCGACACCACTACGACTCTCGTTACAGAAAGACAATCTTGTGGCAATCTTGTTCAAGACATGAATTCAAATTGTGGTTGATAGGTGTATTGCTTTGAGTTAGGAAGCATACAAAAAATACAAGACAGACAAATGAAGCTGTAAACACTTTTTTTTTTCTCATTCCCTTCTAATTTTCCTTTTCTATTTAGTAACAAAAAACACTAAACAAACAAAAAATTTCAAATAAATCAACACATATTAACAAATAGAAACTAACAGGTGGAAAACCACATCCATCGATATCACCAGCTCACCACCAGAATAAATTGAGCAACCGGAATTATTGCTGCACTATATATTTTAAAGACCTCTCTCTCTCTCTCTCATCTAAGAGAAACCAGAGTACCAGACAACCATCTCCAGTTCCACCTGCTGCAGTCTCACTTCCCATTTCCAGTTCGCCGTTTTCCATCAACAGAAACTGTCTGCCGTGCACTGCGCTGCAAAGGTGGAGTGACCCCATTCGATAGCTTTCGTGACGGTGAAGGGCCCAGTGTGGGTATTGAAGTCCTATATACAACAGCAATTAGATTATACACTCACCAACTAAAGGTTACTTTTATCAAAGATGATAATTAGTGTATGTCTTTACCTTAGTTCCGGGCTCTTTGCTGTCTTAGGGTGAGGTTTCTTGATCTTTGACCCGGCACCATTGGGTATGCTAGTAACCTTAGGAAGATTAAATTGCCAAAGCAAATCTGGTTCAGATGAGTCGCTAGTTGCAACTTCCAGCTCATCAGAATCATCAGTTGTAGCCATGTCAAATCGGCTACGCTGTAAATCATAATAATTGCTCTCCTTTTTGTTTGTTGTCATCCTGCTATATAATTGTTCCGGATATACTTTTAAATCCGGTACATATCTCTGGTAAAATAGCCCAGGTAGCTGTCCGTTCTCTCCTTCCCAATTTCCTAGTGGGTTTTCATTTCTATTTACAGTTTCTTGCTTGTTTACCATGACCTTATCAACCCAATCTCCAGTGCATGCCTCTTTCTCATCATCCTTTTGGAAATTTAGTCCAGGACTGTTGACGGGTGGCCAAGGAGGCGAATTGAGTAGTTCTTGGAGATCAAAGCTTCCCCTCTTTGGCCTCATTGCAGAGTTGTTACGAACCTACAGAACCAACGCAATGAACTTACCATCTTGCTAAAGAATTTTTACCAACAGGTAACAGCCCAACAGGGTAACTTGACGAGGATGGCCACCAACCAGTGGGGCACCAAGGACAAGTAGTGCAGGTCACATAAGATATTGCAATACCAGAAAAAAGAAAGATCTGGGAAAATGTAGATTGAAAAACTATTTGAACAGATAAAATTTTATTGTACAGGAAGCTTAATGCGGGTCAGTCAGACAAGGGCTGTCACAACAAAGCATGAACGTCTAACACCAGATCCAATTATTTCAGACCCGGATGATCTGTTTGCATAATTGGTTGGATCAGATGCAGATTTTCACCATATCCAATTCAATTAAGATCTGAACCTGATTACATTTCATACAATATGAATATACACACAGATAAATTTCATATAATAATAGATAAATTTTTCTATATATATGTATAGGTTAAAAATGGAAAATACTTTAGTTTCTTCGTTATTTTAATTATAAATTTAATCCAAATACGACCCAATTACAGCCCTAGGTCAGATATACTCACTTTATTATACCCATAGTTTTCAAGGCGCCAAGGCGAGGCTGGGCGATGGATTTTTTTATATAGAAAACATAGATCCCAGGGTAGTTCCCTAGGTACCATAGCTATATTTCCTTAATAATTATTCATAATTTTCATAAGAAAAGTATAGAATTCATGTTAAAGTATAGAAAATCAACATATTCATGAGAAGGAAAAAAAAAGAAGGAAAAGAAAATTCAAAAAATATAGGGGCTGAACCCTTATTTTTGTTATAGGAAAACAAGTAGTAGTAGTAGTATTAGTAGTAGTAGTAGTAGTAGTAGTAGTAGAAAATGTGTTGATTAGACAAAATTTTAAGTTATTCCTTACTTATTGGTTCAGGTTTTAAAGTCTTTGAGGGTTCAATATAGCATTTAGCAATGTTTGTATTGATTAAATCCTAACAAATAAGAAAATAATAAAAACAAATTAGTATATAAATACACAAAATGAATATTTTACTTAGTACAAAACTGCTTGGTGATTAGGCGAGGCAAGCCTCAAAGGGTGCCTTGTTGCCTAGGTGTTTGCCTTGACAACTATGATTATACCTGATATGGATTTGGAGCCGGGATCCACCAAAAGTTTCCTATCTGAATTTGGACAATGGTCTAGCTAAATCTACTCCAGATATCAACCAGTTTCATGTCCTGTTCAGAACTCCAATCAAATGATCTTTTCTTCTGAAATAGATACTCCTCTGCAATTGGCATGGTTCACAATAATTTTTGGGAAACCAAGTGGATTAGTGGATGAGGCTTTTTATAGTATGCACAGCAAAGGTTTTCTTGTCCAGATATGGACCAGGGTCTAGCAAGATCAACTCAAGATCTTTACCAACTTCATAGATACTCCTCTGCAATTGGCATGGTTCACAATAATTTTTGGGAAACCAAGTGGATTAGTGGATGAGGCTTTTTATAGTATGCACAGCAAAGGTTTTCTTGTCCAGATATGGACCAGGGTCTAGCAAGATCAACTCAAGATCTTTACCAACTTCATAGTGCAGAATTAAATGATTCCATCTAATAACCCCAGCCAAATGATACCATCTGTCTGAAACAGATTTTCTTGGAAACTTTTCTAATAAGCTTCACAATATTTTGTAGGAAACCAAGTGGGCTTAGTGGATGAAGCTTCGAAATTCTGTCCTTAATGTACATTAATTAATTCACATATCTTATCATGATTGTTGGTTCATTCATGTTCATGTATCTCTTATTATGAACATACCTCAGTACCAAATGAATTATCTGACAAACTTCTTTTTGGTAAACCACTTACTCTTGCAATTTTTAGAAATGTTCTAAGAAAGTTGCTTTTTTTTGATAAATGAAAATTTATTAACTCTTTGCAATTTTATACATGAAATAGTAAGATTCAGTTAGAAGGAAACATAAAAGCTGTGAAAATTCCACAAATTTTTAGTTGAGTTTAAATTATTTGTTCAGCAAATCAATGTAAAGGGTAAATTACCTCTATATTTCCTACGTCCTCCATAGGCTGCCTGCGGCTGCTGTGGCCACCTGACATCTCCCCTCCAAACTGTTGGTTAGAATGTAAAGGTGATGGTTCATCAGCCTTTATTCTCTGTCTCTCAGGGCTACTAGATATGGAACATTGAAGGTGCTCTGTTTCTCCCTCTTTTCTTGCCAAGGCTGCCTTAAGACTAGCAATCTGAAATAAGAATTGGTAATAGAACAAAGCTCTCATTCCATATGAAAACATGAAATAAATTAAAGATATGTTGTGGAAAGCATTAATGCAAGTAGTAGGAAAATAGTGTAAAAACCTGTTCCTTGAGCTCTTTGACATCTGAACCATCTTTGTTTACTCGTGCAGCACCAAGTTCAACAGTGGCAACACGTTCAGCAAATTTAAGTGTACTAATTGTTTCTCCAACGGCATCCAGCTCAGGGCTTATATGAACAAACATCAGTGTCTTGGCTTGCCCACCTAATTAGAATTAAGAAGCCCATAACAAAATCAGAGAAGATTTGGAAAACCAAAACAGGATGTATATCTAGGAAGACAGAGAATACAGGATATCTATATACAGGATATCTATTTGAACCATACCGAGAGAATCTTGAAGCAGTTGTGTGAGTTTACTATTCCTATAAGGGACATGTGAATTCTTTTGTGCAAGTGAAGAGATCACGTCTCCTAGAGCTGAAAGAGATTTGTTTATGTGTTGTGCCTCCTTTAGTCTATCCCCTGTCACCTCAGATTTGTCAACTCTTTCACTTCCTGCCAAGTCAACTAAATGCATGCACCCACGTAGAATAGTTCCTGATGTCAGGTCTCTTCCTTGGACATGTACTGTCAAGCAACTGAAAATAAATTTTCAATAATAATTAGCATCCAAAATAATTAAAAGAAAACATATTGCCCCTCAAACAATGCTTAAGCATTATAGACATGCCTGTGAGAGCGACTACTACGGTCATTGAGGGCGGTTGCACCCACTACACGATTCCTCTGTCCAAGATTCATCAATTCAAGAACATCAGAGGTTGATGCAACAGGTACAAGGTTTGCATCTGGTACACTGAGTCCCTTTTGAGAACTGTTACGAATCTCTAATGTTTTCAAGGGTTAAAGAAATTCCCCCAATAAAAATTGTAAATATCATGAGAGAATAAAAGTATAAGGAAAGAAGTGAAATAACTAATATTAAAGGATATCTTTTGTTAAGACCATCAGTGACAAGCAGGTCCCTGACTTGCTCATTATAAATCTCAATCATTTGAACAGAAACATTGTACAAGAAGGTGTCCCTTCTTTGTTCTGAGAGAAGAAATAGATCATTCAATGCCCTATAATTTACACCTTGGCTTTTCTCCGTAAGCTCTTTGGGTCCAGTCTGGATAAATAAACAAAGATGAAACAAGCATGATCAGAAACTCCACGTCAGTGTAAACAACAAACAATGAAGTTCATTAATGGCAGAAATAAAAGAATGGTTTGTTTTGGAAGGGAAGGGGAAGCTTGAAGGACCAGTTCTGCAGCATAGATATTTACACAACCTGGGCAGCACCATACACATGGTGACTAACAGCTAACTAAGTGGCCCAAAAGGATTCATGTGCTTTCCAAATCACCGTCAGTTCATGTGGCAAGTTTCATGCGAATAACATGTTCCCACTTGAGGAAAAAACATGGCACTAAAAGGAGATGGTGTTACTTGAAGAACAATACAAAAGTAATGGGTTATAGAATTTTAGTGGGTTGAAAGAGAGGAAGCCGCCTTTAGGTTCCGCAATGTGATGGATGGTCTGAATTGGTCACATCATCAAAGAGAAATCTTGTCCAGCAAAGGTATGAATCTATCTAGAGAGCCCTTTTCCCATGCATGTGTTTGTCTATCTTATATACCCCTTACCATAAATGGAAGAAAAGTGAAAGGGAAAGAAAGCAATTAGAATAACTTACCATTGTGTATGTTTTTCCTGATCCTGTTTGGCCATATGCAAATATGCAAACATTGTAACCATCAAGAACAGATCGAATCAAAGGCTGGGTATCTGCAAAGACCTCCTCTGCAACAGAACAGAAAAAGGTTGTGCTTAAGATATGGCCACTGATACTTTAAGGAAAGAAAAAAGAAAGGAGACCTTAGCAACCTTGGGATGCAGATGGACCAAAAACTTTGTTGAAACTGAATGATCTATGCCCTTCTTTTCCATATTTTGAAGGGGTGATGATTGTAATATTCCCATCTTCTATGTAATCCACGGTGCTCAGACAATTTGTCTGTCCAGACAAGAAGGGTCTAACACGGCAATAGACCCTAATGCTTCCTAATTAAACAAAAAGAAAAAAGAAACTAATAAGCAATGTTTGATGACTGTATGTAGATTATTAATTTCTCATTAAAAAATAGATTAGGATAACTAGGCTAAGAAACATTACCTTTAAGGTCTTGCACTTGATTATATAGCTTACGATTTTCTTCAAGAACTCTGTGGTATCCAGAAGCAGCATAAGCTAGGCCATGGATGTGCTTACCTGTGAATGTAGTCAATACAGTGAGGATGAAGAATAAACAGGAAATAGCTACTTATTAAGACACTCGTACAGAATCCTAGAAATATTTCTATTCTCACCAAGATTACTAAACTCCTCATGATACTTCATTTGCATAAACTGCATACCCGCTCTTGTAGTCTGAAGAGTATGTCTCAATTCCTACAGCCATTCAGAATAACAGAAGAGTTCAAGTTCATTGCTTTTCAAGTTAGAAATAAAATAACCAGATCAATAAAAAAATTAGAGGAAAGCAATTGCCTCCAACGAATACCTGAATGTCTCTTTGTTGTTGGTTAAGGAGCAGTTGCTGCTTCAGCAGCCTACCTTTTGATTCATCATCATGTTTACATTTTTCATGAGAGAATTTGTCTTTCTTCATCTTTACAATGTTTTCATCTTCCATCTTCATCTTCATATCAATGAAAAAGATGTCAAACAATTATATTCAAGATCTATGGAGGAAGCTACCAAATTGTGCAGTTCTACACAACTTAGATAAACTTGTCCCAACTTGACATCTTAACATGATTACTAGAAATGGTTTACATATCTAGGTCCATTTCCAGCATTTTAAACTCCAAGGATAGGTTTTAGAATAAAACTAACAGTATATATACCTTTATTTCAGCAGAAGTTGTTTTTGAAAGGGACTTGTTGCTATCAGACAGTGCCAGATCCTTAATAGTTGTTTTCATCTGTTGAATTATAAAATAACAAATAGATAAGCCTCAAAGAGACTCTTGCAAATGCATGAGTGTTAATGATAGTCTAAGACAGTTCTAAATAAGGTTTATCCACTGAAATTACGTATTCAAGACAGAGAAAAAAGCATTAAGGACTTTTAGTTTATTTATCAAAATGGGCAATGTAAGGTAATATCAAACAAATAAAATGAAACTTACCATCTCATTATGATTTGCAAGACGATGCTCAAACTCTTCCATAACCTTACTTAGCATGGACTCCACCAACTGTAATGAGCAAAATACTAATATATAATCCTCAAACCCAACCAAACAACAACAAGAAAAGGAATAGACAAAACAAAATAAGCATGAACAAGGAAAGTTCAAATTTCAGCTGAACAATAGGAAGCAGCTAACCTACTGGGGTTAATCATTGGCCTACAGTAGAAAGATCTCTTATCATGGCACCCAAAGAGGCAATCTAGAGGGCTAATAGACATCTGCTCCAGACTACTATTTCCAGATCATCCAAAGGAGTGGAATAACAGAATGGTTATTATCACCTAGTGGGGCTAATTGTAGGCCTACAATATCCTCTAGATGGTATTCACAGGATGTTGATTGAAGATCCTACAAACATTGTATGCTTGTAATTTATACCACAATCAAACCTCTCAAAGTCCTCAATATCCCATCCAAATCTTGGTGACAATAAGGACTAATCAACTTCCAGAAAGCACAAGAACTCTTACTTACCACTGGAACTTCTTCAGGTTTCTTATCAGATAGAACAGCACGTACAAGCATGTCTAAGGAACGTGTGGTATTCTGTAACCCAAATTTCAAGTTAGGCCTAGAAGTTGGTATATTCATTTACATATAAAAGAAAGTACTGGCATGAATTTAAAATTGTAAAGCTTACCAACCATTTCAGTAGGATCATGTGCAGAATCACCATTCTGGTCAATGGAAAAACCATCCAGAGACCTATCATTAATTGACAGATTCCTTGACAACGAGTTTGTGAAGGGTTCTGAATTTTTCCTTGCAAAATATTTGCCAGAGTTTGCGGGTTTCAAATTTCCACCAAATTTCCACAAACCATTTCCCCCAGAATGTTTCCAATCACTGTAGGATTTGAGTGCTAGAACGCAATTTACAATCCTTGCAGATTTTCCACCCTGGAAAAGAGAAAAAGGGTTGTTATAACAAAAGTTATATTCTTCTACACTCTCATGCTTCCTGGAATCATATTGGTCCATGTTGTATAGACCTCGATTTTATGTATAAAAAATAATGAAAAAAAGAATAACAAGAAAAAGAAAATTGCTTACATTTTTCTCATTTTTTAACAGGAGAGTATTCTCTCTCTTTTTTTAACAACACTTACTTGTTCTAGATCAGATGCCTCAAAGGTTGGGAGGCCCATCTCCTGCACAGCGACAAGGAAATTCCTCACATTCTCAAAGTACTGAAATGCTGATAAGGCAGCTCCATCAGGGATAAGAACCGAATCACATGGACTTTCAACGACCTGAAAACAGTTATAAAAGACAAGAACAGTAAGGACTATATTTTGATCCCAAAGGGATGGCCAGATGGAATCAAATACACATGTCATCAAATCCCCCACCTTGGGCACAGCACCAGATTTAATCTTATTGAGCGCATTGCAGAGTATTATCCCACTTCTCAACCCAAGCCTGAATTCTTCCTCAGATGGCTCGGCTGGTAAATCTTTAGCTCCAACTACTCCAACGATCTTTCGCAGCCACCCAGCTGCCTCGTACCTCCTCGATGCTGCAAGAAATCCAAATTCGACCGTTTTTAGCTATTCCAATTTAATCTATAGAAATTTGGAGGTCTGAGTTTATTCCATTACATCTGTTCATGTAAATAACGCGGAAAAAGAAAATGTTTTTTCAAAAAGAGGAAAAAAGAAAACGTTGAAGCTTGTCGCGAAAATTACATATAATCACTGCAAATAAATAAGTAAACAAGTTCTTGTAAAAATCAAGGTAATGAAGCAATACCGATTTACAGCAATAAAAGGAAACGGGAGCATTTGCTCTGTTTTACTCTCAATTGAAGTTTAAACCCAGGAAAAATACTGGATCCCTGTCAGAAACGCGATCATAAAAAGGAAAACAAATAGAAATCAAAGATTGCATCGGCATCATTATAGTGTAGAGAGGGCGAAGAGATTAGTAAAAAAATCATCTTAAGTTCACCAGTAAAACTGTGCAAAGATTCTTCTCCACCAGGACAAGAAAAAAACTTAGATAATACGCTTAGTTGTAATAAACCTCAAGATAAGCATAAAGAAGAGAAACTGAAAATGAAATCAGCATCATATATTTCCCGCACACCTCACTATTTAAACAATTTTAAAAAACGTTAAATACATACTCACACAAAAATGAAAAAACAAAAAACAAAATCTCACTTCACCATCGACAAATTCATCAAAGAGGAGTACGATCCTACCTGCTTCCTCCGCCTTACGTGAAGCCAAATCAGTGTCGCTCAATCGAGTTCCATGTTGTTGGAGAACATCCTCCACTACGGAAGCCATAGAAAAAGATAAAACACCTTCCGATGCCATTACGGTGCTAGAAACAAGATAAAACTCTGATGAACAAATCCAAATGAAATTCAGATGCACGCCATTACAGAAAAGGCCAAGTTCAAGCGACCCTTTCTTATCAATGCAACAAAATCTTGATAAGTTAGAGCTCCTCCCACAAATTGAGCAGAGAGAGAGAGAGAGGCAGAGCAGTTTATTCAAGAGAAAGAGTTCAAGCAAGCAGTTACAGAGCTAGGGTTCCAGACACCAGAGATGCACAAGGAAAAGCGAAAGTTATAGAGAGACAAAGAGATTAGAAGAAAAAGAAAAGGAAAATATAAAGAAAAGTGAGGAATTTTCTGTTCTTTCTATTCTTTGGTCGCTCCGCTGTTCGTTCTTTCTCTGTATCTACACTTTCTTCTGCATGAGTCGGTCCTCTTTCTCTCTCACTCTGTCTTTCAAAGCTTGCTCCCTCCTTTCCATCGTTCTAATATCGCACTCAAAAGCAACACCAAACCTCGTTCCGAGCCTCCCGGTTCGGTACCCGAACGGTTTCTATAATCTTTCTTGCATCAGGAATTTTTCCTGTTTTCATCTTTCACCTCATCACCTGCCGATTAGTAGTTTCTAGTTTCTACTTAAGTTACCAACTTACCATGATATTGCTTAAGTTGGTAAATGGTTACGAGCCGTTCGATTGAGGGACCGTGGCATCAAATCAATCACGTAGTGCGGCGTAGTGGGCCCCTGGATGGGAAAATGGTATTTGAGGTAGGTATTTATTTTAATCACGAGGGCATTTCCGGGACAAGAAGAAAGTTCGATTCTCCGGTTTTCTACCCTCAGATGTAATTTTAGGAAAGTTATTGGCTAATGTTATAAGGTCACCAACAGTCATATTTTTGAAATGTTGTTGACGTGTAAACACAGGACAACCACCACGTGTACGCATCCCTGAAACTGTCTTGCTGTCTGCGAGTCCAACATTCTCTTCTACGAGGAACCACTAGCCACGTGGTGGGGTTCCAACCAAAGATGAGCTGTGAGCCTGTGATTCAATATGCTATGCTTTTAACATGGAGTCTTAACTTGAACCGTCAGATTTGCACCAGATGGGAATAATCAACGCAGGAGAGCGCCTGCGAAAAAGATTAAAGAGAAAGAAAGGGCATCATAAAGGACTGTTGCTAAAGTTAGATTAAGAGTTTAATAATGACCAAGGAAGGAATTGAGTTTTCTTAATTGATCGAATGATCGGATTGCATGGCTTATATTTATTGCCATTTAATAAAGTTTCTATGCCAAAGTCTTTTGCCTTTGACAACTATGTGAGAAAGAATTCTTAATTGCTGTTGGATCTTGATCTAATCATCATGCCAAGGTTTCCTCCCAACCTTGCTAGATGAGTAAGAGAGCCCCTCCTCTCATGTGTGATGTTGGCCTACAGTCATGCGTAAGATAATTTTGAATTTTTATTTTATATTGTTATTTGATGTTAAAAAGAGAAAATATTATTTTCATAGTAAAAAAAATTGATTATATTTGGCATTTATGCCAATTTTTTTTTTAAATCACGTCAGCATTAGAGGAATCGGCACTGAAATTTTTGTTTGATTGACTAACTTTGCTGATTTTCGGAAAATCAGCCAAAAACACAATTCTTGAAGTCGGCCCATTTTCAAGGATCACATGATTTCGACTGATTCCGATTTGTTTGATGATGATATGGCATCTGACGTGGCATTAAATAATAACTCCAATGCACAAATAATTAGCCCTTTAGAACCGATACCAAACTGACTACCAAATAATAAAATTCACCTATTTTTAAAAAATACCATTTCTTTTTAAAGTATCAGTAAGAAAGAATCAGCATTGATGCCAAAATCACCTTAGTAGGTGTTTGACATCGTCGTTGCTTCAGATATGTTTTATGAGAAAACAACGTTGCCTGTATGAGGGTTTATTGCACCATTTTCTCATAAAACGACTCCTTTTTGTTTAGCATCAATGCCTGCCGGATAGGCTATTTTATGCACTAGTTTGGTAACAGTGCTATATAACTATTTTAAGCATTGGTGTACATTATCTAACGCCCAAGATGATGTTACATTGATGACATGTAATTGCACCACTGGCAACAACAGGTTGTTTTCTGAGAAGACATTGAGCGTCTGTTTGGCATTATTTCCATTGCTCCAGAAGATGGCATCACATCAACGCCACATCGGAAAAAAATGGTGCTCTAGGAAATGGGTGTTTGTTTGGAACCATTTTTTCCATAAAAAATAGTCCCCCAAGCCATGCCCTGGAAATCAGCAAGACATGGTTTGGAGCAACGCCAAATTTGACGTTTCCTAGAGCTACAGCTCGTTGCTGCCAACAAAGATGTGAGATGGCAGTCATATGGCACTAGATAATGGATATCAATGCTAAAAGCATTTCCTGGAGCATTGGTACCAAACAGAAAAAGTTGTTGTTGCTCCAAGAAACGTCCTACTTGGCAACAATGATTCGGAAAAAAAAAAAAACACCATTTTCTCAGAAAATGGTGTTTCCAATCCACACATCAGCAGCATCGATGCCAAACATATATTGAATTTGGCATTTCTTTACACCACACTTAAAACTGCTCCAAAACATTTACATGGTGTTTAGAAGCGTGGGCGCTTTTTGGGACCAATTTTCAAGAAAAAATGTCCATGCTTCCAAGACCTGTTTTTCACAAAAAAACGTTTCTGCCATGTAGGCAGTGAGCAACACTATGCTGTTTGGTAAGGTGACTTTCATCACCGTTTTTCTTGTATGTGCTGACAGGTAAGCACCACATAGGATACACATCAGTCAACTGTTGGGGGAAACGGTTCACCGATGCATACATCGGTGGAGTCCCGATTTTTGAGACATGCCCGATTATTTAATAATCGGCTGAACCAAACAATGAGATACATGGGCGCTTGTTGAAATGCCTATGTAGATTCGATGTGGTAACGTTTTTTTAAAAAATGGCCACGGTTCCAAACATCCCCTTAACTAAACAATAAAAAAGCGGGAGAAACAAAAATGAAATGCCTACATGGCACAGAGACATTGGAGAAATAATTCATGTACCAAACACCATTGCAATCACCAAATGCTGCTTACGATTACAGGCTTTTGTCTGAACTCAAAATGTTAAACATGAATTAAATTCCTGTTTTTTTCTAAAAGAAAAATATGTATTTATATTGGAAATACTTTTGTTTTATATGAGCTTGCTCCACTTAACATTGAATTCGATTTATATTCTTGGATTTGTCCAATCACTTGTTGTCTTTGAATTTCAAATTTTGAAATGGGATGGATCTGTAGAACTGATTGAACCGGTTGGATCTTGCCTTATTATAATAATCGTCTAAGCCAAAAACGACATAATGTTTTAGCATAATATGATCTGATGTTCAAATTAAAAAAAAAAAAGAAAAATCTCAACTGTTGATATCCATTTTCTTTTTGGTCATGTACGTCTATAACTGGGGCCCATTAAATATTGGGCCTGTTGGCAAGACCCTGTCCATATATTATGGGTTAAGAAGTATCCTCCATCTAGTTTATCCAATCCAAAAAGGGGGAAAAACAGAAAAGAGAAGAAAAGAAAAAGGACCCCTTTATCTTTATTTGTATCCCCCACTGTGGAAAGAGTTAGGTTCATAGACACTCAAAAACAGATCAGCTAAGTCAAAAAAATGCATGTGGAACCTGAGAAGCCAAAGGGCGCAAATTGATCAATTTTCCTCTGATGATAATACAGAAGAGACAATCCCTTTGCTTAATCTTCAAACATATGAGAAACCATGGTAAGTAAGAAGGTCGAAATCAAACAACTGAGTTTTTGATTCAACAACAGAAAGCCTTCAACTTTAAGATTTGATTAGCTTATTCGTTCACTACTTTTTTAATTTGCAAAGCATTTTTAAGGCTTTGAATAATCACATAATCACTTTAAATAATCACTTTTAGGAAAAAAAAGTGGGAAAATTAGAAAAGTCCTCCCTCCGGGTGGAGTAGGCAAGCCATCGTTTTCAATCTGCTAGATGGTTGTTAAAATCTGTTACCAACCATTTCATCTCAAATCATTAGGGTCATCACTCATCACTCATGCTACCACTAGTCTAGGGCTGTCAATATCGATGTGTTGGATCAAATACAGAGTCCAAAGCCCATAAGAAAACAACAGACCCCCCCTCCCCCTAAAATAAATGATAATAAATAAATAAATAAAACGCCCATACCCAGTTCCGGCCCAGATCTGATAAGAGGATCCATAAGTGATAGACCCAAGACCAATCATGTGGGCCTACGGCTGAACATGCTAATAGCCCCCAATAGGTCCCACCATTTGATGGGTCCCAGTCATGAAGATCATACGGTAAAGTATAATCCAATTGGTGGGTTGCACAAGCTTTGAACGGAATATGACGGCCATGATCATCCTACCATCCGTAACGCTGCTTTTTTTGGCCAAGCATGGTAGAGGGTATCCCGTACGGCGTACGGAGCTTGTGTCTTTGATTGTTCGGGGTCCCACAACTACGTTGGACCCACTCTTTTGAACGACCCTGGCTGAATGATTCACGCTTCGTGGTCCCCACACTTTTTTTTGAAAAAGAACCAATATGGTTATATGGGTATCTCAAGGACTGCAGAAGCTCCGGTCCACCACCCTTTAGATGGCAATTCTAGCCATACGGGTTCGGAGGAACACGGGGACCGCCATCAACGTCACCTGCTATTCCATTCCTCGTAGGGGTGATATTTATTATTGAAATCCGTATGCCTAAAACCGTGCTCGGATATTTTTCTTTCTTTCCGTTAGCTTGGGACCGTTTACAACACGGTCAAAGCCATTAAAATAGAAATATACGGGTTTATTCGTCATTCCAACCATATGGCCTCCAACGTTCGAAAATATTCAAATTGGTGGTTCGGACACGAACCTACCAGGTTCGGATTAGTTAACCGGTTTCTAAAAGAAAAACGTTTTTCAAAAAGAAAGAGGGCCCCACGTGGCGCCTGGCGAGTATTCAGGTGGGACCCTGGATAGGGGCAGCATCTTCAGGCCGGCATGCATTAGTTAAGGCTGCCGGCTCCAGACTCGCGTTGTAAAGTGAGAGAAAAAATTATTTACCAAAAAATAAACTGAGCTTCTAAAGTCTAAAGTAGAGCGGCAAAAAATTGAAATTAAAAAATCTTCAAAATAAAAAAAAAGCTTTACATAAATGGATGATATGTATTTCTTGAAACTTCCATTGAAAATATTAATTTTTAAAACTGCAAAATGAAATATTAATTTACATTTGTTTTTTTATTATATTTAACATATATAAAAATCTTGCAAAGATTAAAATTAAAAATAAGTAGTTTTTCCTATTTATATAATGTATGGGATGACAATTGACAAATGATGATAGAGGGAGGCACGCAGCAAAGGGGCTCCACATCATACTAGCAATTTGGTGTCCACCTAATCTGCCACTTGTCAATATGATGAAGATCCTGAATTTCCATATGATGGGTCCTATACTTGTTATAATT